TCATTTTTTTTTTTTTTTTTTTTTTTAAAGGTCATTTTTTTTGTAGGGGTTCTAGCAACTGCAACCTTTTGTCTGTCTTCTACATTTGTATTATGAGCACCTTAAGTTACATCATCTCCCCCAGCTGTTTCAGTGCATGGGAAGGAACTGGTTTTGGGGCGTAAGTTGAGGGTGTGCAGTGAAAAATGATGTTGTCTGTTTGTTCCAGTAGGGACAAGGCAGAGGATTTCAGGAAGTGCAAGATTGTCCTTTAAAAATTCTCTTTTGTATTAGTAACTTGTACTGAACTGTAGCATAGAGAAATAGAACAGCATTTTAAGTGGTCTGTTAAAACTCTACCTAATACCTGTTTATTTAAACCTGAAAACCTTTTCTTTTAATATCATTGGATTTTATTTTACTCTAGTTATGTTGTTCATCTTTCAGATAAATGAAAATGATGGGCATAAAAGAGATCTCCCTCCACAGCTTATTCAGTGCTTTGCATGTCCTCACTGCTTCCTTCTTTTCAGTCTAAGAGATGAATGTTTGAAGCATATGTCTGGAAAGAATCACTTCCTCCAGGTTTTTAAATTGAGTGGTATGTTGTAACTAGAATGTGACTTACTTCATGTCTTTCTGATATTGTATCTGAGCAGTGTAAGGCAATATATTTTCAACTGTAAATGAAAGAAAACCATTACCTCTGTGCCTTTCTAAGATGATTCTTAATTTGGAAAGAAATACACAAAATATGAAGGCCATATGACTTGTATTGTCCTCTTCCAAGATTTGATGTCTTGCTAATATAAAGAGAGATGCTTTAGGATTCCATATCTGTTTGTGCATTAGTGGTTCTCATTACATTTTCCAAATTGGAAGTAGATTTATATGCTCCTCATTGGTGTAACAGAACATCTTCATTATGTCTTGGGCCCTGTATAGAATTTGATCCTCCACTCTAAATCATCATGGCTGGTTGCAGACGATGGGGAGGGGGCCCACCAATCAGCGAATTTCTTGGACTAGACTGTCACACCTTCAATTTAAAGCACCATACAAAATGGCCATACAAATACCCTATGTTAGGGATTGGCAACATACAGTTGACAGGCTGGATCCAGCCCACAAAGCCCAATGGCTTTGTGTGTGCTCATGCTAGGGTTAAGCAGTAAGTAGCTGTGCTGGGTCTGGGCAAATTCCAGCTGTGCTCTTACTGCCACTGCTCTTTCCCTTTACCCCCAAAACTCCTACCAGCTGTGGCTTGGGTACAGCTTCCAACTGGTTGGGAGCTGTGCCATGACCAGGCAGCTGGAATTTTCATCCAAGCTGTTGAAGTTGCCATCCCTCTTGTTTCCCCCCTCTTTCCTTTTTCTCTCACCCCAGAAGTTGCAGCACTATAAATACAGCTTCCACATGCCTAGCTCTGGTGCACTTTCTCACCAGCTGGAAGCTGTGCGTATGCCCCAGCTGGGGAGCAGGGTTCTGGGAGAAGCCACAGCTGCATAGGCAAAGCTCCCAGCTGTCTGGTCCCATGTGGGCACAGGGAAAGCCCTTGCTGCTGATGCTCTGTGCCAGATGAGCTGAGTTGTTATTACCAGCAACTTGAAAAGTTTTCCAGCTGCTGTTTGCCATTTTATGGGGTCTTAAATTGGATACATGTGTTAGTACCCTTGCCCTTGATACCGTGATTAACACATTAGTTGTGGCATAAATGTAATGTATAGAGAGGCCCTTACTCCCACATCACCGGTAATAAAGCCTAATGGCTAAATTAAGCCCTCACTATTCCCTGTACAATTCAACTGATTGCACAGTTGTACAGATTGGAACTTGTAAAACAGTTGTGGTGATGGCTGTTAATTGAAGCTCACTCAGTGTTAGCTGTTAAATCAGCTTCTGAGTTTTGGTATAATAATAAGTATAGTATATAACAACACTTAGCAAATGGATGAGACTGCAAAAAATATATAATGGAATTGATTTTTTTGAATGAGAAAGGTGCAATATATTCCTTATGACCATAAAGTGCAGTTCTAGCTTAAAAACTAACCATGTAAATATGGCATTATCACAGTCAACTCTGATACTACTTTCTTACAATACAGCAGGGGATGTTGTATTGTATAATAATGGCCACAAAACTTATTTCAGAAACTACTTCCTTTTCTTTTTTCCATTAAAAACTTTTAGTTTATTCTTAGTCCTACAGTACAGAGAATCTATTAGATATAGTTCTGCCCCTAGAATCAGTCTAAGAAATGTAGTATGAAGTGTTGAAGAAATGGAGATACTCCAAAAGATACTACAACAAGCTTGTATGTAGTGTTATGTATTTTTCTTACACATTGATGTGTTTTCCCCAAAAATATGGAAATATAATAAAAGCAAAGAAGTTAGGGGAGCAGGCTTTAATGACAGAGGAAAGAAGCATCATTTGCCAAAGTCAAAGAGGGGATCAGTAATGGAATTCAGAAGAGGAGACTGGGACATGCTTCTACCAATTAGCAAGGATGATGAATAGTAATTGTTCATAGAATTAAAGTATCTCATGTTGAGGTTTTGAATATGTGGCTTCATTTTATACCATGTCATGTTACAGATGAATCAGGAACTGCACTTCCTTTGCCTTTTCCAACCTACGCAAAGAAGCTTCTGGTATCCTTATGCAAAGAGGTCCCATTCCAGGTTAAGTGCACATCCTGCCGCCAGACATTAGGGTCACATATGGAGCTAACAGCACACTTCAGGTTTGCAAGAGTTTACCTGTAGGAAATGAATGTGCCTATGTAGCTACTTGTTATTCTCATGTTTTTAAATATCAGATAGCTCCATAGTTTGGTGTCAAACTTGTAAATTCCACTTCTACCCTAGTTGTTTCAGCTTGTGATGTGTTAGTATTGGCTCAAGTATAATCCTTTGGGGAGTATTATAGACCTGTTTAAAATACCCTAAGCATTTGGGATTGCTTATTATACGTTACTGTTATGTATTAAAAGCACGTGCCATAATTTTAAACAGTAGTTCTAAAGAGCAAAATTTTTCCCATTCAAAGAGCTGACTTAGTTGGGGAAAGTGGGGAGGAAGTGTTCCTGAAAGAAGTATTTTAAGAAAAGAATTGGAGGAGACCGAACAGATTGTGGGTGAACAGAAAATGGAAGACTTAAAGCACAGAACATAAAGAGTTAGAGGTGTGAAAGTTATGAGCAAGGGAACAGTAATGAGAGAAGACTTGAAAGGGCAAAGACCATATGAAGAAAAGGATAGCAGAGATGTAGATGAGAGCAAGATCACAGGAGGGAGGGCATACTGTTTATATGTAAAGTGCAAGGCAAGAAGCTAATGAAAGCATTTGTGGGAGAGGGGGAATGTAATATGTCTAGGATTAATAAAAAGGGGAAAAACTCATTAGGGGCTTTTTGGGTACAAAATGAGAGTTCAGCCAAGGCAGGTTTGGAAAGGTAAAAAGCACAGTTACTAAACTACAAGCTGAATAAGGCAAAGACAACCCTCATTCTCTAAATCACACGGGGATAGTGGATGTCAGTGGATGTGACTACCTCCTTTAAGACAGGTGATCTCAGAGATGTATTGAAATCCTTCAGTTAGTAGCAAGGTTGTTGGTTGTAGCTGTGTTGGTCTAAGGACATATGCAGGCAAGGTTCTTTGGGTAGTTTTCACATCTACCCAAAGAAGCTTGCCTCAGTAGTTGCAATAATTTTTCCTCTATCCATCTTTCCCCTTAAATCATAAATGTTAGCTGTTGGTTTGTGCATTGCCTACAGATCCATTACAAATAAGGTTATGCATATCATGTTAAGACTTGCCTTTTCAGTAGTGTATTCAGTATTGTAACCTTGCTTGAACTCTGCACACCACTGGATCAGTTGAAGGTCCTGATCAATCTACTGCTCCCTTCCTTGGTTTAAGAGGTAGGGGGAAAAAAATGTTTGGATCATTTGGGTAAGAAATATTGATAGGTAAACTGATCCCAAAATTAGGCTATGTTAGGTCTTGTGGGGAGAGAGGAGCTGTGTAGAGCTTGTCCTTCAAAAATATGAGAGGATGAGTAAGTGGATCAGTCCTTCCACTTTTACCCCAGGAGTGAAACACTAGAGAGCTTTGATCATATAACACCCAGGAAAGAGGAAAAAATATGCCTCCCTACCTTGTCCCAGTTACAGATTGAAGAATGATTACATGTGTATGTGATTTCTTGTTCCATTCCAGACCAGCTGTCATCCCTTTTCAGTTTACTCCTCCTCAGCAACATCCTCATCCTCAACAGCCTAGTGCCAGTGAGGGCCTGTAATAGGCCTTTCAGCTTGAGTATATTCCCTCAATGCTGTGCTTAAGTGCCTCTGATCTGGAAGCAAAGTATGCTGTTCCCAGCATGGGTGAGCCCTAATTTGGTAGAGTACTGAGGCGTTAAAAATGTACAACAGAAATACAGAGGGCTTTTTGGTTGCTTGATTTCTTTAACAGGTATTTTCTAGGTAGCGAATATTCAGGGGTCTATATATGCCTATCTAGAATCCACTTTTAAATTCAGGAAATAAAGTAATATAACCAAAATGGTGATATTTATTAAGTAAGTGTTTTTAAAGAGAAATAATTCAAAAAGAAAAGCTGCATGTACTGGTACTAGCACTTCATTTAGTACAGTGATAAAACATTACTAGGTATGGGATCATTTGGTCAGTATGCAATTAAACCTGTTAAAGTACATATAAAAAGAATATTATTTCTCTATCAATGCAGTTGGTGGTAAGAAATGGATGGGTATTTAAAAGGCTTACTGTGTAGGTGCAGCTGAAATCTGAAGTGTTTAGAGCTCTGAATGTGTCTTTATATTTATGTCCGATTTAGAACTCGTTGTCGAAATTCGGGCCCTGTAGTACTGTCGGAGAAGAGCATTTCCCAGGTGGCAGAAATATTTGTAGCAAGAGGTCGCTGTCAAAATTGTGATAAGCTCTTTGCTGATGACAACCAGATCAAACAGCATAACCAAACAACTCAGCACAAGGTTAAAATTATTACCACAATGGAAGAATCTATCTTGATTTTCTGTCATCTCAATGGAAGAAAGAAAAATCTCTCTCATATCAGCCAGACAATAAATCGGTCAAAATCATCACTACTTAAGAGACCACTGACTTTGAGTGAGTCTGCTAATGAAAATAATTCTGCCATTTCAAAACAGAAGAATAATTTAGAAAACAAAAATCAGGAAGTTGGAGTAAAACTAGGTCAAGATGATACATGCAAAATAAAAGCCTGGTTTTGTGAATGTTTTTTGAAGTTTTCTTCTGAAGAGTCAGTAGAAAAGCACATTTTTTCAGCAAATAGAATCTGTTATAAATGTGCGGTCTGTGGGAAGCTTGCTGAAAACTCAAGCATTATCAGTCTCCATATGAGTCGGTTCCACGGAGGGGCACACTTGACTAATTTCCTTTTCTGGTGTCGAGCATGTAATGCAGATTTATCAAAAGAAGAGAATGTTATGGCACATGTGACTGAATTTCATGGTGGACATAGTTACTATTTTGAGCAGGAAGAAGCTCTAGAGGATGAATCTATGCCATCTTCTGACACAGTTTGTAGTACCTCAGTTAAATATGAAGAAAACGTTACTATCTCTGTAGAGCAGTCCCCTGGGAAAAATCCCATTTTAGGAAAATGGCAGTGCTGCATTTGTGAGGAAATGTTTGATTCTGAAGGTAGTGTTAAAAAGCATTGCATGTCTTTAGAAAGCCATGAATTTCACAGGTATTGCTGTGGATTGTGCAAAAATCACTTTCGTAAAATAGAAACGCTATACCGACACTGCCAGACGCACCACAATCAACAAATACAGGTTAAATATTATTGTGGTATTTGTGGGAATCTCTTTTTTGATGTTGAGGAAGAATTTCTAACACATTATAAGTCTTCCCATAGCATGGATTATATGTTTGTGTCTGAGCAAACTGAACCATCAATAAAAATTGAAGAAGATTTTTTGCCATTAGAAGAAGAAAACTATCTAAGCTGTGGCTGCCGAGAAGATTACGTCTCAAAAGCAAATAGAAAGATAGATTATGATATTTGTCTGAAAAACATGCTAAAAAAAGGAAATCTGTGGTTTCGCTGTTGCTTCTGTACAGCAACAGCACAAAATTATGCAGACTTGAATGACCACCTCAGCAGTCACCCAACACAGAAATGCACCCAAGTGACGTATGTTGTGAAGTGTAGCGCGTGCAGCAGAAATTTTACTGATCTTAAGAGTGCCCATCAACACTATCATGATAAACATTGCTTCTTGCAGAAGCCTGATACAACGCAGTTCAGTTCAAAAGAAGAAAGCAATGTCTTTAAATTCACAGCAAGCGGTGCTTGTGTGGGTAAGAAGCCTGACAAACTGAAGCTTTCTGAAAAGTTTCCGAAAAGATCAAAATCTCCCTCTTCAAAGGGACCCATAGATGGAAAGAAAGGAAGAAGTAAGAAAACACATTCGCCAGAACCTAATGAAGGTATATGGAAATTCTTTGTAGTTTTAATACTCAGTAGAAAAATCACTGCTTAGTTCACTTGTATATAGCAGTTGTTTAGTAGACCTGTATTCTGTCATTAGTATTCTGTATTTTCAGTTCTTACTTTCAACAAAAAAAAATTCCAGAATTTTTCGGGTTTTATATTCCAAACTTAAATACCGGGTTGAAATCAGGATAAAAGGAAGAAAAGAAAAAAATATATTGGTTTAAATTGGGGAAAATAATAAATTTTTGGGGGGCTGAGAGCATGTTCTCATGTGCCCCCTGGGTGGGAAAGTCTGCTCCGAGGGCCCAGAACAAGGGAGCCAGTGTGGGGCTAGTTTTGGTGGGGATGGACCCCTCAGGACCCCTATGCCTGCCCTGCCAGGTGATGTCTAGCCAGGGCAGGGCACAGGACAGAGCTGCGGCTCGTCCAGGGGGCGTGGGGAGGGGCTTGCAGCTCCCGCCACTGCACAGGTCCCACGAGGCACAGGGGTGCTTGAAAACGTGTAAATCAGTAAAAAACCAAATAACCTCAATAAAAAAAACTCAGGTAATTTATCGGTGAAATTTGGTAAAAACCAAAAATTCAGAAGACTATCATGCACATCTCCAGTTTGCACACAGAAAAATTTATGTTCCATTCATAGTTTTAAAGTTGTAATTTTAACTCTGAGAACTAAACTTGAACATCCTTTTTACTCCACCCTCAGTACTTTATTACTTCTAGAAACAAAAGCAAATAGCTGGTGTTGGTGTGATACAAGACTTGGCTTTGGTGTCCAGATCAATGGAGCAGTGCTGAGTACTTCCAATTTTGTGATCAGGACAGACATAGAGACATACAGAGCTCCAAACAGACTTCTACATGGAGCAGTGTCAGTGCTGCATATAAATTCCAAGTGGTTAAAAAATCGCTAGGGAAATAATTCTGTTTAGTTTCATAGTTGGTAGGGTCGGAAGGGACCTGAGCAGATCATCAAGTCTGACCCCTGCCATGGCAGGAAAGAGTACTGGCGTCAAATGACCCCGGCAAGGTGTTCATCCAGCCTCCTTTTAAAGACCCCAGGGTAGGAGCCAGCACCACTTCTCTTGGAAGTTGGTTCCAGATCCTAGCCGCCCTGACAGTGAAGTAGCGTTTCCTGATATCTAGCCTGAGTAATATCAGTAGTAATAGTACTGACCATAATTCTCACTTACAATTATTTGGGAGTTTATTTTTGCAAACATGTCTGAAATTTAATGTTCAGTTTAAACAAATTTGGGTACACTCACATTGTGTATTTTATACAGTTCAAGACAGTGAGCTGCCAGATTTTGACTACCTCAAGACCATGACTCACATTGTGTTGGTGGATTTAGACAATTGGGGAAGCTTTTTCACTCGTCTTCCGGCTAGCCTGAATCAAGGGACATTTATCTGGGGATTTCAAGGTAAAGATTATCTCAGGAAATATCAATAAATGCTTAACAAAAAGACACAAATAATCTAATAGAGCTTTATAGAACCAAGAAGGGCAAAGAACATATGATCTTTTTCATTAGATCGCTTGAATATACCAGCCTGGGGCAGGAGCCTATTCTCTGCTGTTAAAGTTCCTTAAGTCTGTTGTTATAACACTAAACATAATTCTAAGTCATCCTGCTTGGGTGCGTAATTGGTGGAATAGGATGTAGCCCATGGAGTTTAGCAGTAACCTACAAAAAATGTAAAGTGATGTATTGCACATTATTAACATACTCATGCAACTGATAAAGAATACTACTATATGACAGCTACAAAATGCCCTTGTGTTTTCTTTTACATTATTGAATAACCCTTTCATAATAGAAGTTTTCACTTCTGTGCATAATAAATAACACATCTGTGACTTTGAGAGTAGGAGGGATAATGGGAAGAGAACTGATTTGAGGAATTCCCTTGGTGACTTCTGCATATTTGCTCTTACCAATAAGGTACCTTGATTTACAGTATTAGGTGATTACGACTGTTACTGAGGGCTTTTTTTTCCTTCAGGCTGGCCATTCTGGAAGCTTCAGTGTTTAGAACCATGGATGTTATAAACAGAAACAGACTGTACACATTTATTAAACTAATTATGCTAATCCCCTCTTCCCACCACTTAAATGGTTTTGTTGAAAATATATTACCCAATTTTCTTGTGGGAATAACACTGCATGATGGTAACTTCAGATAAGTTGCATTAAGCATTTTTTATTCTGGTAATGCAGTGATTTGAGATGAATTGAAATGGTACATGTTTATAAATATGATGGCTTTTCCAGGAGTAACCAAGAAATTGATATAAAAACTAACTTGAAAAGTTTTACTGAGGGTCATAGAATTCAGGATACTTCTTTTGTCAACATTTGTATTCAATAATACACCACACTTGCTCTTTTTACTGTTGGCTTATCAATGACATGCATGTATTTTTGCTTCACTGTTTAGGAGGATGTAGCAACTGGAAGCCTCCAGATAAATGCAAAATCTTTGATTATCTTAATAAGATAGGATGTTTCTTCCTTCATCCACGCTGTGGGACCAGAAGAGAAGCCGCAGACTTTGCACTCTGCATGCAAGTACGTTATATTACTGTGTGTGGTTGCTGGTTATTTCGCTATTTGGAACAAGCTGGGTGGAAGATGATTAGGCCAATTAAATTGAATTCGTTGGTGGAATTTTCAAGTTTTTGTTCAGTATTAGAAAATATTGAAGCAGTGATAAGAGCAAAATTTAGCCATTGATAAGTATTTATGAAAATCCCATGTTGACAGTAAGTTTCATACCATTGTTCTTGTCCATGTAAATCATGTTAGTGCTTGCATCAAGATATATTTATTTTTGATGTTGTATATTAAGTTCAGATGTCAACAGTTTCCATGAGTGTGTTCATTCTATTATGTCAAACACAAATATTAGTGGAGAGTCTTGTTTTGTGCTAAGTAAAGAACTGAATATTCAGAGTGAATGTATTCTCTAGTGACATTTATATGGTTATCTTATTCATGTGGATCTCCGATTTACTTAGTAGAATTCATACTTAACAACAAGAAAGCAGGTTCTGGCAGTAGAGAAGGAAATTGGTTTTAAATATTACATTTAAGAAGAAATTTTTCTCCAGGAAACTTACTTATATCAAAATACTGTCTGATACCTAAAATGTTTTAATTTCTTCCTTATTCCCGTCTAGGCTGGCCGTCTGGATGAACACCTCCCCAAACAAATTCCTTTTACCGTTCTTTCTGGAGACCAGAGTTTTCTAGAACTAGAGAAGCAGTTTAAGTTGACACATCGATCAGCTCACATTCTAAATCCTCATCACATAGACGGAGACATGATGTGTGCCTTATTAAATAGCATTTCGGATACCACAAAAGGTAGTACATAAAGAACGAGCAGAATCCATCCAGTAAAATAAATGGATACTAGTGTTGAGAAAAACAGCTATGATTTGTTTATCCTTGGTGCTTTATTACCCAATAGTCATATTTCTGACTCCCTCTCCCCCTGCCGGGTTGTTCCTGCCTGCCACTTCTTGAAGAACATAACATTTGGGCTTTCTGGCCTTACTTAGTATACCCTCTTGGGTCCAGAATTGCATTCCACACAGTCTTAACAAGCTATACCCATTATTATGTAGTGGATTTGCTTGTTAAATTGCGTGCTGAATTTGGGAAAGTAGTATTTCAACCTGTGACTGAAGTGGCTGGTACTCCTTGCTCCCACACTTCTGAGATGCTAGTCACCAGTAACAGGATTTAAACTGACATCACCATAACGATCGTTCTTTGAATCTGTAGTTTGTGTTGATCTGAAATCCACACTGTCTGTTATTTTGGAATCCAAAGTGGCTCTTCCTCCTTGTCTCTGTAGCACAGGGAAGGGTGGTGGTCGTGGGGACGCTCACATGCCTAGCCAGCTGCGGTGGAGGGGGGACAAAGCTGCAGCTGGGCAGCTCCTGTCCCAGTGCACAAGGCTCCATCTTCCAACTGCCTTTCACCCACTCAGGAACCTTTTGATTGTACTGTTTAACTTAACTATAGGGGAGTAACAGGAAGCTAAGAACAATAGCATCGATATGTTTTATAATTCTATAATCCCTTATGAGCTTGTTCTAAGAATAGCTAACAAGGAACATTCCCACAGCCAAAATAATGGTATACTATTATTTTCTCCCATGCCACACACTTTTTTCACACAAATCAAGCCCCCAAAATTGGGGTGTATGTCTTAAGTGGGGAAGCTGATTTTTCTGCCCAAAATATAAGCACCTCATTTTGATTCCTGGTTCAAAAACAACTGGCTGGGAGCAGCAGTGTCATTTCTATTCAGACAGTTGAGGGAGCAAAATCTGTGGGTTGTAAAAATGCAGGCTGAATTTTGTGTACTACTCCAATATCCAAAAAAGTCCACACTTTGTGAATTCTAGTATTCACAAAGTTCAGAATGGTTTTTTCCACTCTGCTATTTAAGATTGGAAAGAAGTGAGATTGGGATTTAGAAGGGAGAGGAGCAAGTAACGCTGTGTGGAATTGCGGAGTCTGAGTAACAAGGGTGGCTAAGGAGGACAGTTATTGCTAATAACGGGGCTCAGTGAGCTTGGGATGAGTGGCAGATGAACCAAATTAAAAAAACAAGGCGACTGGGGCATAGATGCCTACACAGTCAGATGGATTGCAGATTGGCTGAAGGGTCGCACTCAGAGGGTGGTGGTGGATGGGTCATACTCGACCTGGGGGGAGGTGGGTAGCGGAGT